TTTTTTTTCTTTAGAAATTTCGTGGAAACAAAGACAAAGACACTATAGTAAAGAATAAGTTTGCCATACCGATTGTGGCTMGACACATTCGTATTCTTCCACAAGAATGGGATGGGAATATTGCTCTGAGAACAGAGGTGTATGGCTGTTCAATATAATGCAAGACTAGTAAAACAGTAGATAAGGACCTACATTTTTGTTATGTTACTGTTTCTTTCATAACTTTATTTTCAGCCTACGACCCTTTTTGGTTCCTTAGAGAAACAGATAACAGAGAGAAAAGTATTCTTTTTTTAATTAAGCTCTGCTTGTCTAAAGCAACGGGTATAGATAAGATATAAGCTAGAATCATWAGAGAATGTGCCGATCTTATTTCTTTCGCCATTTGTAAGATCTTTAATAGTTCATAGCTCAATATCAGTGATCTCTGTTGTGGCCAGGTTTTTCGAAAGGATAGTGTATGATCAATTGCATTTATTTCTATCTGTTAATCGTATAATATCTGAATGCCAATCTGGCTTTCGCTCTTCACTCGACTCTTATAGCACTGATAGAAGCCACCGATAGTTGGGCATATAATATCGACGGTGGCAACTTCAATGCCGTAGTATTTTGGGATCTCAAAAAGGTATTTGACACAGTCGACCACGAAATTCTTTTAGCAAAGCTATTTACCTATGGAATGCAAAAAAAAAAAAAAAAAAAAAAAAAAAAAAAAAAAAAAAATTACCGGGATAACCGCAAACAGAAATGTACTATTAAATCCATGCGGTGTACCTCAAGGAACAATTTGAGGCCCCTTGTTATTCTTATTATATATAAATGATTTACCAAACTGTCTACTACATTCTCTACCTACTACCTAGAATGTATGCAGACGACACAAGTTTGACATAGCTAGACTGCTGATTATGATCCAAACTCGATTCAAAAATGTCTTAATGTAGATTTGGATAAAATCAGCGCTTGGTTGTCTGCCAACAAACTTATATACACTCAACATGACAAAAACCGAATTCATGTTAATAAGCTGAACACTGTTGCTAATATGCCAATTCTGAAAATTAACGAGGCTCCAATCAAACAAGTAAGTACAACTAAATCAATTGGAATAATTTTAGACAACCATGTAACTTTGCATGAACGAATTGAGAGAATTGTGTAAGGAAATTGCATCAGGTATTGAGCACGGATAAGACAATTTGTACCATGAACCATCTTGTTTTCAAAACTTTAGCTCAACCTCACTTCGATTTATTGTGATGTCGTTTGGAGTAACTATGGTGCAACTATTTCTGACAAGTTACAAAAGCTGCAAAAACGTGCAACAAGAGTTGACTTTTTCCAGTTTCGATACCAATTCAAGGGACTATGGTGCAACTATTTCTGACAAGTTACAAAAGCTGCAAAAACGTGCAACAAGAGTGTTGACTTTTTCCAGTTTCGATACCAATTCAAGGGACTTGATTCAAACTTTAGGGTGGAATGCTCTGAGTACCCAGCGAGAAAAACATAAATGATGGAAAGGTAAATTATACACCGTGAAAA